TATATATACCTATATACTTTTATATATAATCATAATCTTTAATTAATATTGTATAATTATTCGGTAATATGTATATCATAAAATAATTGTGATAAGAAGTTGCATTTTTAATTAATTCTTAACAAAAATTCAAAATTGTTATTAAAGATGTTAAGACGGTTTTCATTTTTAAAGATTATTATTTTAGTAATTGATGTAGAGAATCGCCTTGAAAATATATGAAGTAACTTATATATAGGTTCTGCAAAACTTTATCTCTCATTTGCGAAACACCTCAAATTACGAAGCGCCAGGTAGTCATTAAAGAGCTCATTGTTGCAACGCTGCGTGGCATCGCGGTGTGTAGTTCTTTAAACATTTATGAAACCCTATTACGCGGTTCTAAATAATGTATTTCAACTTGCATGATCTTACAACAAGAATATAAATGTTATATCTTGCGTATATTTTGTTTCCAATGTATCCCAGACAACACACAATATTTATAAAATATTTATAGCATTTACTATCACATTTTATATTAAATATTTCGTAATATTTGTAACAAATGTTACAATCTGTGCAATCTAAAAGATTACAAAAATATTTAAAAAATCTTTATAAATATTTCGTAAAATATTTGTAAATTATACAAATATTACGAAATATTTAATTTAATGTGATAGTACATGCTATAAAAACACTTGATGAGACATTATAACAATCCAAGTAAAAAATATTTATTAGAAATATTTATTTATTGGGAGTACAAATTAGTTCGGTCCGTCTTTTCCAAAAGATGATCGCCTCCAAAGACGAGTCATTTTTTCGAGATGGAATTCGAAAATTGCCTGAGAGATGGGAAAAAGTAGTAACCAGCGATGGACAATACTTTAATTAATCCGTTCATTCATTGTTTTGAAATAAATGCATTTTTTAATACAAAAAACGGACCAAACTAATTTGTACACCTATTTATATTTATATTGTAATCTTTATGCTCTATTATATTAATATATTCATATTAAAATATATTAATATATTTTCAATATTATATAAACAGATTGTTTTATATATTAATATATATCTATCATATCATTATATATCTATTAATAATTTATATATTATGTATTAATTATATCATATCTAATTTTTATTATAATATTAAAAATACCTACAATTGATATAAAATATAATTTATAGAAAACGATTATGTGTCATTCTTACTCTGCCGCTCGCCCCTTGTCAATGGAGAGTATCTTGAAGTTTTTAATTTGTTTTTTTTTTTTTAGAGTTAGTGGCCGTTTGTGCGCGGTAGAACCTCGGTGAATTTACGATGTCACAAGTAACCATGCGTGTACGTGTGAGCAATGTACGCGTACATATGCTAGTCATAAGTATCGCACACTCTATAACACGAACGCTAGGAGAGATGCAACTCACTCCTCCTCGGCTGCTCCTCGGCGAGGCAAGGTCGTGGATAGCGTTGTCTCTGACAGATACGAGAGAGTGACACTCGTATCCGGTGAGCCGAAGGGAAGCTTCACGGCTGTCACCGTTCGTTTCCCTTCCTTCGCCCCTCCGCCTGTTGCTGGAAAATTCCGAGTTCATTTCTTCTGCACTCTTTTTTACAACGAGATTTGTGTGCCCGAATATTATTATTGCTGCGTCTCGTGGAGATAAAGAAGCGAGGCCGAGAGCGTGGAAACCGTGGCTAAAACAAATTTCGGAGTTACATATATGTATGTGTTGAACGCTAATTTTTGCGTTTTAAAGAAAAAAGAAGGAAAAGGCACGAGTGTGGAGAAAGTACATGGCAGTGCAGGGCAAGGAACAGGTGTTTCGAGCCGATCGCTATGATGGCACGCGATTGGCTCGAACCCATCGAGGTAACCAATCGACGCACGATCCGTTTGAGAACGCATCTTGAAGTCTCGGCGATTTTCCCCGCCGCGACCCACGGAGCTGAACCGCGCATAACTTCACGATTATTTACCGTCGATTATTATGGAGCGAGCTATTTTTTGCTTACAGCAATTTAAAACGGGTACTGGAAGGTATGATTACAGTCCGGCTACCAATAATTATTTTTAACTCATCATTTACACACCACTTTTTACTGATGTGTTTTGAATGACGCTATGAAAAAGGAAGGAAATCACGCGATTTTTCGCTTCCAATGCGATACGATTGCAGCCAAAGTTCGATTAATTTCATAATAAACTTCGATCAGTCGCACTATATTGCATATTAAAAGTTGCTTATTGATATAAAAATATTTTCAATAATATTCCAGTAAACAAGTCGATATTATTCGTCATCATTTTGACGTCACAATGACGTATTTTGTACGTGATTTTCCAGTAAATAAAAATCGATTAAAATGATTCTTTTCAACGTTCGCGAATACCTCCGAAAATCTGAATCCATTTCAATGCCCAATGTCTGTTTATTTATTTTACACTATAGGAATTGCACGAAGCACATTTTCTATACCTTTCAATTAAAAAATAAGTTCATCTTTTTAAAATGGATTGTGAATAATGCTCATTCAAAATTCTAGTTAGGCAATGTTTTTTAATCCAATAATTGAATCCAAAAAAGCATTTTTCCGTTTAAAATACGCACTTGTTTACTGGATTTACATTAGAATGACGTTAACATCAGTTTGTTTACTAGATTTTCATAATAAAATAATACGTTATATATTAATTCTACTAAATGACGTGACAATAATATTATTATCAGGTATTTAATTTGTTCTAAGTATTTTTTTATAATCATATATATGCCTTTTATATTTACCTAATTGCTATATAATTTCACATGTGTTAGCAGTTTTTAAAATTATAGACTAATCTAGTGTAATGCATAAATGATAGAATTTCTTGTTAATTTAACTTATTGAGTAGGGATTTACGTATTTCATATACAAATTTTCCAGGGATTTTCTATGTTCGGAGAACATCCTGTATGTCCTATTAATTAAGGCGGACGTTCTTATTATATAAAATGTATTGTATGAGACAATAATGAAAACAATATATTAGAAATAGCAGTAAATATTAATAAATTAAAGTAATGTAAAAATTGTTATTATATTATTAAAATGTTTGAAATAAGGCTCAATATGTTTTTAACAATTAGATAATATAGAGAAAGAGGGCAATAAGCCAATAAATTATTTTACGTTAAAAATCTTTTTAAATTAATTTAATATATTGCGAAGAATATCACGTAATTATGGCGTTTCGTCCCAGCTTCCACTACTGGACTCATCAGTAAGGTATTGTAGTGGAAGCCTACCTTAGACGCCTGTTTAAGTTATTAGATATACAGATATACGCGCATCCAAGCATTTGCGAGAATTTTTTGCGAATATCTATAGATCTCTGATGGCGAGTCGACGTAGTAATATTCTTCGCAATATATTTATTCAAAGTAATATATGTATTACCCTCCCGCGCCGCCGCGTGCATTGCGCGCCGAACAATCGTCGGTCTTGAAACGCAACTCTATCTGAAAATTCCCCCCAAATTGCGCGCCGAACTATCGTCGGTCTTGAAACGCAATTCTAATAATCTGAAATAACGTCCCCTTAATCAAATTATTTTAAACGCTTCATTTCGCCCGCGTGAATTATAAATAACAATTAAACGTAATATTTACAATAATATAAAATAAGGCCCAATAAAACAATAGGAGTAATAATAAGGGCAATGAGCCAAATACTGAACGCAACAGAAATTTTCAAATTAAGTATAATATAAAATTTAAAATTTTAAATTTAATACAGACGTTTCGATCGGGTCATCTTCAATGTAACAAAAATAAATTATAAAATTTCGGTGTCGCGCGCAAATAAATAAATGTAATGTCAGGAAATTATTCGCATCTTGAAATTGTAGTCATCAAGTTAATCCATCAATAACAGTAAATTCATTTGTAATATTTACATCTTGTATCTTATTTTATTCAATGTGAGTTAGGTTTCTATACTTATTTATAATATTTATTCCTGATATTCCTTTTAATCCATTGCGTATCTCTAATATAACTTGTCGCAGAATTGTATTAATATGTACAAAATTACCAATTTTTGTCCGACATACGAAAGGAAAGATATATATCATTAATAAATTAGGATTTACGAGTAATCGTCGAGTAAGTTAATCGGAGTTTGGTTGGAATTAAAAAAAAAAAACACTCTAAATTTATTTAAGTTTATTATTTAATAAATTCAAGCGAAAGGAATTGTTGATTCGAATTTAATCCACGAAACGAGAATGGAAAAGTAGTTGCCGAGTCGAATAGCGAACAGCGAGCGCTGCGTCTCCGACGGCACAGTCAACTGTTGCAAAAATACACGGACGTAGAGAGCGCGTGTTTTCGAGGCCTACGACATCTAGAGTACGCGCACAGTCGATGATCTGCGCGACGTGACGTTCATTCGAAGAAAGGCGGACTGACGGCGACGATAAGATGGCGGCTAAGCGCACGTCAGATCGCGGCTGAGCGTTCGGAGCGCAGCGGGGTCCGAGGGGCCAGGAGGGGGGGCATAGGCAGGAAGAGGAGGTAGGCGAGCGAACGCAAGCAGGCACGGATGAGAGTCTGTGTCGTCGTATACGTGCCTGCGTATAGAACGTGCGGCGGAGAGACACGGCCTGTTTCGTCATGTCCTGGCGTAGCCGCGTAGTCGCCGTAATATCCAGGCAGCCTACCTACGAGACGGCGCAGGTCGATTTTCGTTTCGCGTGATCTCTCTCTCTCTCTCTCTCTCAGCCAGACCACGGCCAGTTTCGTCGATGCCTTTGTTCGCGACCGGGAGGAGGAGGACGGGCGCGGATTGCCGTCGCGACGAGGCGAAGACGAGGACGAGGGCGAAGAGGAGCCCATAGCCTAGCAGCCTAGCCACAGTGGAAGTGTGAAAAGTGTGCATCCTCGCGAGAGAGAAGGTGCGATAATCTTGCTCCGACTTGCTCTGTCTTTCTCTCTCTCTCTCTCTCTCTCTCTCTCTCTCTCTCTCTCGCGCTCTCTGCTTCGTGTCTCTCTCTCTCTCGAGTGAAACGGCGCTTCACACCCCGGCGCGGTCCTGGACACGTCTAGGAGGTGGTGGCGGCGACGTCGTAGAAGGAGGAGGCGCGGAGGAGCCGACGGCGACGACGACGACGACGGCGGCGGCGAGATGCGCGAGTTCAAGGTGGTGGTCCTCGGCTCGGGCGGGGTGGGCAAGAGCGCGCTCACCGTCCAATTCGTGTCCGGCTGCTTCATGGAGAAGTACGACCCGACGATCGAGGATTTCTACCGCAAGGAGATCGAGGTGGACAACTCGCCGTGCGTCCTCGAGATCCTCGACACCGCCGGTACCGAGCAGTTCGCGTCGATGCGCGACCTGTACATCAAGAACGGCCAGGGTTTCGTCGTGGTGTACAGCTTGACGAATCATCAGACCTTTCAGGACATCAGGGCGATGAAGGAGCTGATTACGCGCGTCAAGGGTACGGAACGCGTCCCGGTGCTCCTCGTGGCGAACAAGCTCGATCTGGAGCATCAGCGGGAGGTTGGCACCGAGGAGGGCCACCAGCTCGCGCAGCTCTGGGGCTGTCCGTTCGTCGAGGCGAGCGCCAAGAACCGTACCAACGTCAACGAGATGTTCGCCGAGATTGTGCGCGAGATGAACTTCAGTCCCGAGAAAGAGAAGAAGACCTATTGCTGTTGCAGTGTCCTCTAATACTTAATCAAAATCCACGTTCGCCCGGATTACCTTCCACCCGCGAACCGAACCAAGGTGATGATGGAGGTATTATACAGTGTGTACAGTGCTTCGGGGAAGGAGCTCGTCGACGACGTTAACACGTCGTCGGCGTGTTCTTTCGCCGTCCTGCTAGGAAGATTCCTTTCACATCTCTCCCTTGGCCTGCTGAGGAACATGCTGAGGGAAGATGATACAGTGTACAGTGGCTTATGGGCAGAGCTCTCGTCAACGTGTTATCGTCGCATCGTCCTGGAGGATCTCCCTTCGAAGAATCATCTTTTGCAAGTCTTATCGACCTTGAGATGTGCCACCGTGCATCTGTCAAGGCTAGCTTGTATCGGACGCTGTACGAATTCTCCAAAAGGGAAATTATGATTCTCCTCTTCTTTTCTAACTTTCGAAAGACCGTCCGGCGAGAGACGGCCGTTAAACATAGATATTTTATTATACGCGAATAGTATTATGTATGTAATATTATTGTAATATATATACATATATATATATATAAATAATATAGATAAGATAGAAAGAGCGAGCAAAAGGTAGCTTTTCCTCGGCAAAAGGACCAATACTCCGCTCGCGAAAAAGGAGAAGGTGTTGTTGAAAACCGTAAAACCAAACTCGATATCGGCTTTCTGCTCAATTTTAGACAGAACCGTCGCACGTAGGTTCGCGTTCTCGTCCACAAATGGAGATATTTAGGTGCTGCGCGCAGAAAGAAAGAGAGATTATTCGCAGACTTTGAAGGAATCACTGTGATGGTCGTTCTAGCATGGTGGTAGTTTCAGCGATAACTAAATGTTTGAGTGCAGCTTAATTCTGTACGCATAATTTGTATGCAGTCGTGCGAAGGCTATGCAATCCATCTGATTCGATAAAAGTGGTTAGGTTTTGAGAGTACTCTTCTCTGTGCAATTGTTCTGTGTTAATTTAAGCTAAGGAGGCTGATTAGCGAGATATTGTCTAAACATTTTTGTACGAGACGTTGTTAGTGACATTTATACACAGGGTGTTTCACCTTTAATCATTTGGAATGTCTTCGTTATTCTTAAGGAGATACGGAAAAGTGTTTCAAAAACAAATTATTCAATTTCAGGGAAATTGTCATTTCGATGATAATACTTGTCCCCTCAAATTGAATGATCTGTTTCTGAAACATTTTTTAAAATGTTTCAAGATATTTCAAATGATTAAAATCATTCTGTATGCCGGTTGTACAGTCCTAACATTCAACTATTTTACTGTGCATAAGAGAAAAGCACTGAGAATGAAGTTTTATACGCGACACCTCAGTGGTTAACGGATAATCCAGCTGTTGTGAGATTTCTTGTGATCCAATTGTGTAGCAAGTACTAATACCTTATTTTTGTTTTGCTTTAATGTCTGTTCCATGATGTTTGATACAGCGCGCAATACCGTATTTGCAAACTCTGATGCGCAGAAGTGTGCAAAAACTAATATGTCGTGATGATTACAGAATTTAATAAACTAAGGGCCAAAGACTTGCCTCTAGTTTGTTGAAATGTAACATTGCAGATAATATTATATAAATACGATGACGGGAAAATATTAAGAGAAACGTTTCGTAAAGAGATAGTTAACGTAACAATGTCAATCTAAACTTGTAATTTGTAAGCTTTATACGGTAAAAAAAAAAAATTTGTACTACATAGGCCGCAAGACTGCACATTCGATCACTATGGGATTGATGATGGTTTTTTTAACGAGTGATCTTATACACCAATGACAGAGCACAATAGTAGAATTAGAAATCTCCGGAAGGTGCGCCGGTTTTTCGCATTGATCCCTTCAACTGCAAAAATCACATACGTGCTTTTATTCATCGCTCACAATGATTACACCAATGTGAAAAGTATCGTAATAACAAGACTGTGACTTCTTTTCAAAAGTATTCTTTTTATCCTTGAGGCCTCGTGAAAAACCACAGTATCCGAATAAAACTTCTTTAATTGGTTCATCAAAGATGTTTAAAAAAAAGAATAATCATGAATATTCGAAAATACAGTTACAATACTTTTCGTTGTTGGCATTATGCTTTCGAAGAGAAGAAATCCAGAAGGATCTCGCAATCGTTTAAAACTGTCGTCGAATTTCCGAAGTAATTGATGAATGTAAGAGAAGCTGGCGAGCAATGGCACTCCTTCTCATAAGATTGATCAATTTTAAAATTTCGAAAAAAATTACACACTTATTTTAGAAACATATTTGCAATGTGAAGAAATTCTACAGATATGAGATTATAGCATTGATTTTTTTAGATTATTTCACAATCATTTTTCGTTGTAAATTTACATCTAATTATGTTCTATAAGTTATCTTTTTAGATTTCTATTCTTTATGTTGTGATTTCGATAGATGGTGATGTATTACTTGCGCATTTCTAATAAGATATAACTCATGGAAATTTCTATTTCGTTTCGTTAATTTTTTATTATAGTAGAAGATTTGACTAAATCCTTTTTATAAACACTCGATTAATTTTATGAATAACCATAGAGCGGCAAATAATGTGTGTAATTTTTCTCATGTAATCACACACAAAATCGTTTCTCGACAAGCGTATCGTAACAACGTTTATTATATTATTCAATGCATTGCCATTTAACTCTCGAATGTGTATTATTGGAGAAATATTTTTACTTTTTCATGATATTTTTATTTACTGAGATCGAATCTTTTCTGTCTTCTAAATTTAATTTTTAGAGGAACTCAAATTATATCTTTACGTAATTGTAGTGTGAATTCTTTACGAAAAAATTCTTAGGAAGCACATCTGAGGGTTAAACGCATAAGTAAAGGATGATGAAGATTGTTTGAGATTAATATCTTTTTGTCTAATTTTCCCGAAGGATATTCTGCTTCTATGACAAAGATGTATTTGTAATTTTGTATAGACCTCCGCATTCTAATTTGTAACGCAGTGTTATGAATTTTAAAGCAATTATATTGTTCGAATAGTATACGCGCGATACTATTTTCCAATTTTCGGAGAAAGTTGCGAGAATTAAGAGTTAAAGAAAAAAAGGAATAAAATAAGATGAGAATGAACTGATGTACAGTATTTCTACGATTGATAGTTAGAGCGTTCTTAGGTATATCGAGAAGAGATAATTGTTCATATAATACTTCGAACGAGCGTTTAATGTTGAACAACGCAAAGACCCTTTCGGTATACTTTTTTCGAATGGTGCTCTCTGTAGTTTATTCCGGGCCCTAATATTAGAAAGGAAAACAAGTAAAGAAAAAAGAATTTGCTGAGGCGCCGGAAACCGGCGCGGTCGTGAGTTTATCTCGCGGTTCGCGAGAGATGAAGGATAAGAGCAGGCGAAGTGGTTTCATGAAGCCACGCTATTTTGTCACAATAACGTGGAAAATTCTTAGTCTCGCTGTGATCCCGTAGTCGTAACATCGCACCTTTTGTATATCGGATAACAATAATCGAAGTCTTCACCCGGCTTCGATCGGAGGGCCTCTTTATAAAGCGTTTTCATCGTCGTCGCCTCTGACTTGTACACTTTCTTGCGTTTTTCGCCCTGTTTTATATACATACGAAATATGTATAAATACACACGTGGTATGAAGTACGGATCATATATATAAAGGACGCACAAGGCCGTCGTCTGCCTAGATAGCTCACCAAGTATTTGATATACTTGAAAAATCTATTTATATATTTATATGAGAAGAGGTCACGCCGCGTGCCTCTCGCGCGTCCAATTCACGCGAGATTTGCGAGATTGTGCGCGCGCTATTTTTTTTTTTTTTTTTCCCCAAGACGACGGTCTTGAAACCGTTGCCGCATGAATGATCTACGACATGAATTCTAATAAAATCACTTTTATTTGGGGAGCTATCGCCGGCGGAGAAGCGTCAAAGGAAAAAAAAAGAGAGAGAGGATTGCGCCATACCTGGAGTCGGCCAGCATATCATACATCTAAGGACCAGAATTGTTTTTCTTTTCTTAATTCACTTTACTTATAATCGGTGCGAATCAGTTATTATATATCTACATGTCGAAGAAAAAGATCGAAAGAGGAAGATGTAATGTGCAAAGACGTATACACTGTAATTCACATACAGTTGCAGACACATGCGCATTTGTCACGTAACCGGGTCACGCACATATTAATTAGTAATTGGAGAAAAGATAAAGAGAGAAAAAAAAGAAAAACACCACGATTTAGATATGTGTATATCGGCCTTTCAGTACTATTACCTACGTATATATACATATATATATATATATATATATATCTGATATATTGAGTACGAAATGCGTTATATATTTTTTACAATGTGAAAAATCTGTAAATATATAATATAGCGAGTCGAAGTATATATATATATATATAAATATAATAAAAGATAATTATCTTGAAACTTCCGAAAGAAATACGAAGTATTTCAGAGTGAATATCTTTTATTCGCGAAAGAAAAAGAAAATGTGCATTGCACACTGGACTAAGTGCAGTCTCGTTCTTTCGTGCATAATTGTGTAGAATTTTATTATAAGTTAAAAAATCACATGAGACGAAACTAGAATGCTACAATACAGAATCATTTTCTTGTTACATATTGCTATTTTTTTTCCTTCGTAGCAAGAGATTGCTTGCTAATAATGATTTTAAAACATTCGAATTATATTTAAATCATTCTTGCGTAATGTGAAAAATTGCTTGCTCTAATAATTATTGTCTTAAAATATATCTGAATTATTTAAAAATATTCTTGGTCAAAAAGTATCATAGAATATTTTTTATTAACTGGACAACAAAGTGATAGATTTAATACGCTTTTATGTTGGAATACCAGCATGATGATCTAGTCATGAACGAATGAGTTAAGCACTCATAAGTCGTAATATGCATTCTTCAGATACTTCCTGAGCAAAAAATGTGATTTCTTTTTCTTATCCTATTGACAAAATATTTTTAATTAAAACATAATTGTTGTAGAAGTATCGAAGTTGACTCTTAGGTTCTGTTTATCTAATAATTTATTATATTTTTAAATTTTAATTTTACAAGAAATTTAAACTTAGAAGTCTTCAAAATAATGCACATTTTTTCTTTCTTCGCAATTCTTGTTTCTTTTTTTTTTTTTTACTTCTCATCATGGTATTTGACACAAATATAGTGTTAAAATTTTAGGTATTGTCCTGCGCCGAAAACTGAGTGTATACATACATCTTTTTCCAAACTCAAAAGAGCGTATAATCTTACTGTTTCGATCGATTTCATTTTAAATTTTTTTTTTCGGAATCATGCTCGAACTTAAAATTATTTACACAAAAAAAATCAATTTAAGTTGTTACTTTTAAGTTCGTAATGTAATGTCAAAATATATCGAATTTATTAGAGAATTACTCGTCATTCGGTTTGTACGATGACAAAATTTCATATTTGTGATTAAGGAAAAGACTCAATTAAGCTAAAGCTCGCCTATATGGTTCAAATAAAATTTTTTTATATTTCATTTTGTATCTCTTGCACATGTATTTTATTAATTAATTATCAGTCCAACGCTCATCACATATTTACATTCATTATTGTACATGAGGTAGACTCAAGACCCGTTTGCAAATGGAAAATCGCTATTCGCAATGACGAAATGTGAATCAGTTCTTTTATACAGTTGAGAAATCTTTCATTGCCTCCATGTCACGTTATACTATATCTATTTTTACAAATACTGAATTATTAAAATATCACATAATTTACACGAGAGTGAACACATTTTTCCCGAGAGAGAGAGAGATAGATAAAAATCTATTTAAATACAAATGGAAGCAATGAAAAGTATCATAACTTGCAATATTCAAATTGTAACTTTTTTAGGAGAATTTTTTGTACAATGTTATATATATATATCCATTTTTTTTAAATCAAAAAGTTTGAACAAATTTTAGTATATAGAAACAGTGTTAAATATAAATCGCTGAATGAATATAAAACTATATACTATATATATATTGATGTTACAACATTTGTTGCGTATATATACATTGGAAAATTATTATAAATAAAGACGCACAGTGTCATCACAAAATGTATAAGTGCAGTTACAATACTATTCATTGTACAGAAAACTTCTTTAAAATAATTTTTTTTATCTCTCGTATATGGTACTAGATTTATATAATACATCACTCCGATATTTAACGGTAAGTATTCTAAGATAATCAATATTTAGTTAAAAAAAAAATAATTATGAGAAGCCCCGATCAAATGTCTTAAAAAATTGAGCAAAGTATATTTAAGAATAAAGGTAAGTATTTTAGTAAAATATACATTCGTATTCTTTTTCTTTTCAATAACACAGAAATTAAAAAAATTTCTTTTTTTAATAAAAGTGAATCTTTTTAAAATTTCTACATTTTCACATTTATAAAAAAATTGTATAGTATTTTTCAAACATTCAATCAACAATACGTAATTTTACGAATAGTTAATAGTTAAATATAGAGTATTTAATATAAAAAAACAATCCACGAAAACTAATAATGATAATATACAGTAAAAAAATGCTTTATGTTCAATCTTCAATTTCATACAAGAAAGATTGATTCAATATATTGAAAAAATGTAGGAATCTCTCACAAATAAGATGTACTTTATAACATTGAGAAAAAAATTCTTTTTTGTATAAAATTATATATTTGCTCGATGATCGTTTATGACTCGACTTATGAAGTATCTGTGCACTGTATCGTCAATACAATTACATACGAATTGGTACGCCTTGAACATGTCATTTGCAGTAGACACGAAATGCAACGAACTGGCACCTTCTAAATTGTTCAAACTCTCACTGAAACATATATAAAAAATATGTACTTTTTACAATACATTTTATCTAAAATATATATAAATTCTATATTTTATAATACATATGTTCTCTTATTTTGTAACATTCCGATATATATTATTTATATATTATAGTATTATTAGTATAATGCACTATGTGTTTTTATTTTCTCTTTTCTATATATATCACAAACATTTAAAACCAATATTTCTGATACTTATAAATAATATTCTACACATATAATAAAAAGTTGTTTTTTTTTTAAATTTACAAGATTTGATAAAATACAATATGTAAAATAAATAAATAAAAAAGTTAATTTACAAATTAATTAAACACGATAATGTGTTACACTTTGTAGTTTAATAAAATTTTATTATTTTACAATATATAAAAAAATTTTAATTTAAAAGATAATGATAATTATTCACAAAGCTTTCTCAGAAAGTCGCTTTTAAGAAGTATTGCATTATTTCAAAATATCACGTATTCTTCTCAAATATAATTCAAAAGCTTTAAAAATTTAATTTTATGTTCCTCAACATTAACATTAAATAACAAATAAAATTTATATGAATAAAAAATTGAAAAACAAAAGTAAAAAAATGAAAATAGTTATTCTAAAAAACTAACTAAAAAAAGAAAAATACTAATATTCACTCACTTGATTTTTTCAGATCGTACAAAGTATACTTCGATTAATTCGCTGATTTTGCGAAAATAATCTCTAATCCTGGAATTTGCATCGACGCACATGTTGCTGATCTGCTCGAGCAAATTATTATATATATTACAGTATTGTGTCTCGTTGACTATACTCTTCAAGGAGAATAGAGTTCTTGATAGGGTATTGAAGATTATTTCCTGATTCTTATATATCTGTTGGTGCTTGAGGAATAAGAGTGTGTCACAATAGTGAACGAGGGCACGTAAAAGCGAAACAAATGAGTCTTTAGGAAAGGTATCTGTAAAGACTAAGGTAAGCTGCATCGCCTCGGCAGTAATGTGCAATACATTCTCATATGCTTCTAATTCGTTGGCCCAACCAAAGTAAGACCAGGATACTATTGTCATCTCGATAGCAAAGTTCTTGTACTCTTCTTCAGTGGCATGCAGCATCATGTGACGTAATAAGGCTTTCTGATCAATTTGGAAGGAGTCGCGCAAGTTGGATTCACGTTGCGAATTCGTGTATATTAGTTGATATGTGGTGAAGCAACGTCTTTTATAGTTCTGGATTACGTCCTGCACAGTACCGCGTAGAATTTTTTGTAACAAAGGAGCCAATAATATTTGATCGATCGGTTCCACAATGTTATTAACTTTTTTCATGATTTCGCTCTGATTTTTCAACGTCAACAGATTCGACCGGGCAAATAAAAGATTTAAAATCATTGTTCCACGGTCCAATAAATTGTTTACGATGCTTCTTAAATGCACTAGATTGCATTTTCTTAATAGTGACATCTTCTTGATTAATTCTACGATTAGCAACACATAATTTGTTCTGTGCGTGCAGATTTTTTTCTTTAGAATGGAGTACATATGTATCAATATAGAAAGCAGATTCGAACAATTGAAAGTATCACAGATCAGGCAGGGAATATAAACGTTGTTTAACAGATCATCCGGAGTGATTGCCTAAAAAAAAAATAAAAAATTAAAATACAGTTCCAACAAAATTAAAAAATAAAATCCAAAGAAGAATACAAATTACTATTAAATAGATGTGTTTCAATTATACTAATGGTTAGTATGGAGACAAATATTTTGAATACAGTTTTAGATATGCTGTAACAATATTGGCTATAAAGAGATTAATAATTTTTTTTTTAATTATGAATCAATACTAAATGAGAATAGATTATTTTAAACAAACGTCTCTAAAAAAATAAAATAAAGAAGATTGCTCATTAAAAAGGTTTTAAAAAATTTCATAATCTTAGAAAAAAATATAATACATGCGACAAATTTTTAATACCATGTAACAAAAAACATTGTATACATCATATTTCTCTTCTCAAACTACTTTTTCTGGTCCAAACAATTTTTTCATAAAATTTACTTTTTTGAAATGCAATTTATAAAAAATAATCTATTCGATACATATGCACGCACGCACATAAATATATATAGATAGATATAAAAAGAAATTTATATACATGCTCTCTAATATATAAAAATAGTAAATAAAGGACAGAATTTGTATAAATAATAAATTTGATAAACATCTGCCTCTATATATAATGCTTAATTCATTTATAACATTATACATTACCTCTTTTTGAAGTACATCATTTATAAACGTTGTAAATTGCTTGTAACACCACGTAGAGTGATCATGTTGCCAAATATTTTTCAAAATATATGTCAGCAAGTTATCTTGATCATCTAATTTCACAATGAAAAACCCATATAGAAAATATGTTTGCTGTTTTTTATACATAACATTTTGGTATTCTATCTCAGTACTGCCTATTGCGATTCTCACCAGAGTAGTTAACACTTTCTTCGGATTCAACATAACAAAGATCAAAATTATACGAAATTCCTGAAGTTCGCATACGTTTAAGTTGCTTTCTATATATGTTTTAAAATGTTCATTATTGAACAAAAGTGTTAAACGATTGTCATAAAAGTGTTGAAATATGTATAGTAATATGATATGATACATATCCGACAGTTGTTGCTGTGTCAATATCTTCAATACTATTATATAGGCTTGATATTTCTCTTCATAATCGTTCATATTTTCGAATATATAATGAAGATATTCAAGTAGAGTACTAACGTCTTGCACATTTAATAACTCTGTTTTTCTGCTTATAAATTGCAATACAGACAGATTCCATTTCTTATAATATTTCATCAATTCTTTCATATCATCCAATTTGCCATTCTCAATGCTATGACAGAGTTCTTCAAGAGTTAAAGTAGGCTCTTCAGGTTTCTTCGGACCTACAAGTTGCTCTAGACAATGGAGCAGATGATCATTCGTCGACAAAAATTCATTCTGCTTTGTAAATTCTATAAAGTAGTGACACTCGATAATAATAGCGCGCTGTAGTGAAATTGTGATGTTTTCATTATCATCGACTTCCGCCCAGTTCATAAACTCCAAACAATCAACTTGCTTGATTTGATTTAGAAGAAGAGCAATCAATTCCTGATCCAGTGTTGCTATAATAGACTTTACCTTGTCGATAGGAAGTTTCCAAAAATAATCCGTACGGCCATCGGTATTACCATATGTGATCTCGAACAATTTCAACCGATCATGTTTGATCGGAAAATTTTTAGTCTTGTAGCACATGCACATTCTGATATAACGAAGTACGTCTTTTAGAAGAATACCATGTTGCACATATTTTTCCTGGTTAGGTGACTTGAGGGTAACAAATTTGGAGCCAACAATATCAAGCAATGTTTGAAAATGCGCTACTAATTGAGAGACGATCTCTGTCACATTATATTTTGACAGCACGCCAAAGTGCAGCCATAGACATCTGTAATACAATTTGGATATCAGAAGGAAAACAAAGCGTTTAGCTCGTACAATTTCCAGGTCGTTTATACATCTGATAGTTATCTCCAGAATATCCACGCATAGATCCAATGGTAAATGCATAAGTGATTCAATCAATAAGTCCTCGCATTTCATGCGCCACATCATCTATACATATATATGCACAATATTATTCATATAATTTATACGATTATAATTATATAAATAAAATATATCAATAAGATTCTTATATTGTAAGAAATATTAAATATAATACAGTAATTATAATCTAATAATTATTATAATAATTAGAAAAATAAAGTATTTTCGTTAATAATAGTATAATATATTTATACATATAATGAATTAAATATAATTATATATATTTGTAATAAAGCTCACTAAATTTAAAAATAATTAAAAATAATTAAAAATACACACTTTTCTCTTCTCACTAAAGAATTTATCTAAACAAACAATTTTTTACTATTGTATAAACATAAAATTATTTAATATAATTTTTAAATATACACATGTACAATACATACATAGGGTCTCATTTTAATTACTGTAGGCCCTGTATATGTAAATCTCGAACAATATGGAAGATATAAAAGCTTCAGACAAAAATTATATCACTTGAGGGAGCTCAAATAATAAATAGTAAGATAATTAATTTTCCAAAATCATGAAGATTATTTAAAAAAATAGAATTATATGAATTTTTAAGTATAATTCTACATATAAACGTATTCAAAAAGGCCATAAAAAATCAATAATTTACTAGATATTTCGACATATTTTTTATTTTGACATAAAATGTAAAATAAACTACTGTATTAATTTTTTTATAATTGTGCAATACTTTCATATATGATATAAAACAATGAGATAAATCAATTGGTATAAAAAGAAACACATAATTGCTCAAAATAAATATGTAGTTGCATATTGTAATTTTTTACATAGGCAATTATGTGTTTTTATTACATCAATTGAATCCTGAATCACATTATTCTGTGTATAATTTTTTGAAAATATTGATTTTATCATTTTTGTCCCCTTCAAACTATATAACTTCTAAACTACTTTTTTATACAACTTCTGTTTAACGTGTTGCTCAGTATTTTTTATTTTTTATGATATTTGCCTGTGGCAATTAAAATAGAATCTTTTGTGTGTGTGTATTGCTATGCTCAAAATGAAAAATGATGTATTTATATAATTTATATAAATAAATTATATATAAAAAAATCTAAACAAATTGAGACAAAAAGAAATCAAAATGGAGTATTCAACATTCACTATATATATAAAATTATAAAATCAGCAACTTAATACATATTCTCATTATTAATATAAGGGTTACCTGGATAAAGAGATATGGCGATAAAGTAGGCCAAGAATGGACTATATGGCCAAGCATCAAGTCCTCTGCGAGAAAGGATTGTGAATAAAAATTAGTGTTCAACAAAAAATGGTTGTAACAGCCAATAACGGCTGGTGAAATATTGATACATGGTTTAGAACTGTCATTCTCATAGAATATTTTAATATTGTATATATTGAATTGTTTAACAATATCTAATAAGGCTTCTAACAATTCGTCAATGAAATGCGAAGTCTCTTCTGTGGCCCGAGATAAAATAAATTTTAATTGGCCATATTCCTGCTCTTTCTTAAGTAAGAATTTTTGTACTTGTTTAGGTAATTCTAGTATCATCTCCATCTTGAACAAAAACCTAAAAAGTATTCAAACATTATTTCATATACAATATATGTATCTAAATATAATAAGATAAATTTTAAAGAATATATAATAATATAAATACATAATATATGATAACATGTATAAATGTAACCATATTGTGTTAATAAAGAATATTTTAAATCTTATTTTGAAATTACCACAAAAAGATTAAAAAAACAAAACATTGAAAATTTAAATAATAAAAACATAATTACATCATATAAAATTAAAAGAATACACATATTGGATAAACTATCTTATTATTTAAAAAATTTTAAAGTTTAGAGATGTATGTACATAATATTAATATGATGAAAATAAAATTAAAATATAGACAATTACTACAAAATAAAAGTAGATTTTCTTCTCTTCAACAGAACATTTAAATATTAATAATTAAATAATGTAGTAACGTTTAAATAATATAACAAATATATGTAATAATGTTTTACAACAAAAAATTGGGTAATTATTTCATTATAACACGTCTCTTCAAAAATTGATAATACAAAAATACATATACAAATTTTAACTTACCGAGATTTTTTATTTAACGAATATTTCTCATTCGAAAATTGTCTCTTTTACATAAACATGGTGAACATTGTATCCTTTATTATACACAAGATTTCTCAATGTTGCAAAATTCTTTCAAGTCAATAATTATCAAACTGCTAAAGTTCGATCAAAATATTGTCAAATGCAAATCTATATTTATCAGTATATCGTTCATTTTTGTTGTTATTTAAATGAAAAGTTAATATACATTTATTATATAAATAGACACACAAATCAAAAGTAATTATTGCGACTAATTGTGATTCATATCGTATTCAATAATTAATTTTTTCAACAGAAACCGTTTTTCACCAACGCTGAGTCGCTGATTACTTGATCGGTCGATTTACTCATGGTGGAGAATGTGAAGCAATTGATGGATGCGCTTAGACCCCTGCGCCGCCGCTTCACGCCGCCGCCGCCGATAAATTATTATC